AGTTATTTAGTTTAAATATTGCTGAGGGGACTTGTTACTCTTAAAGATAAAAATGTGAGTACAATATTTGTATTACTGTATGTATCGATTTCACTCAGTTATGTATATGAGAATGGATGCGTATCAACGCCTTTCACATTAATTTTATTTTAGTTTCAAATATTCGCACTTATGTCTGTTGATCGAAATAAAAGATATCGTGTTAGTGTAAAAAATATTTTTAAAAATGTATTGCTTATTACTGTTCCGCCATGCTATGGGACACGTATTCGATAAACAACCGTTGAAAATAGGGTCAATTTTCGATGTTAAATATCTGTGTTCATAGAAACACGGCTAAGTCGAATCATCCGAAAAGTTGAATGTTTCATTTGGCCCCGTCGACTTCGACTTATCCGTATTTTGCTGTATTGTATTTTTGTTACTTGTTACTTCTGTTGTTGACTTTAATCTAAATGTTAATTATTGAATGACTTACTAAAAACGTTTTTGAATGGGAGTTATTATTCGGCAATATACGTTATAACGACAAACGGAGGCTGACCCTTGATAGAGGGAAATTGGGTCATAGAAGCATTAACTTGTTGCTGTACTATAAGGAAGTGTACACTGGTCCAAGGGTCAGGGGTTTGCAGAAACACTGGACGAAGGTATGTACAATCTACCTATATTCTGTTTTTTTCAAAGCATATACATTTACATTGGAATTTGAATTTCTGTTTGAGGAGACTAGAGATCGTTTACATTTCGCTGATGTCAAGGTCTCTATTATTAACGATTAACTGTCGATGGTTGAGTGGCTTGTTTCGGTATTATCGATGGCCAGAGTTGACGAATTACAAGTTTTTTTCATAGTCGCCGTACTAAACACATTCCAACTCACGAATACAATAACACAGTGGATTGCGTTAATTAAGCCCTCAAAGCTAGATGCAAGACAATGGACTACTACTTTTTCTGGCGCCCTAAAGGCTTAAAAGATGGCGTCTTCCCGTTGTTTATTGGTATACGACAGGCATGCGTAGGTACATCCTTTTGGTCAGAGGAGCAGCACTATATTGATTATGATCATCCGATAGGTTGTCTAGGCCGTTCGGCATAATGGTATGGTTATGAATATTAACGTCTAGATTGTTTACAAATAAGTACGCATGCGCGTTAGAGTATTGCTTAATTCCGCCCAAGTCTAACTCATACGGTCCGTTATAGCCTTATGTCTTGTGATTTAGCCCAACACAATATTGTGGAAAAACAATGTTTACACTGCTTTATTAATACGTATGAATCACAATTAAAATTTTATGCCATGACATGATTGCGATAAAATTCACATAGTGGTAGTGTCTAATAGTAAAACAAGGTCTTCACAATATTGACACTGACGCTATAACAAGGGAGGCTACTCGCGTTTGTATTTCTGCAACTAATGGTGATATTACATATATATTGTTCACGTGTTTTCATCATAGTTAACTAATTTATTTTATATCAGTCCTGATCTGTGTTTTACTTGATGTCATTATTCAACTATATAATTGCAATTAAACAGTTACATATAATTAAATGAGTGTCTTTATTATGCGCCTCATTTTGAAGTGTACACTGGTAATAACCCTTAAAGTATGCCGTAACGTCAGCAAAACTGGACGCCACTAGACAACGTTGGGCGGAATATCGGTTCAAGATATTTTACAAACCAGGAATCAGTAACACAGCTGCAGGTGCTTTGTCCAGATTCTTTGCAGACACTGCGGAAAATGCATACGAATATTTCAGTTCCTGCAAGATGGGCTTGGAGTGGCACAGATTTGTCTCCCTGAATATCGAAGGTCAGTTCTCTACCAAGAACTATATGAGAATATGGTACATGTTGGCACGGATCGAGTAATTGCGTTAGCCAGAGACAGGTTTAATTGGCTTGGAATGGCTCGGGTCATTGGCCATTTTGTTCGAACAAGAGACCAATTGTCAATAGAACGACAGAGTTAAAACCCACTCGTATAAGGTGCTGATATCCATTGATTATATGCATATTGAACGCTCCAAAAGAGGTTATGAGTACATCCCTGTGATTGTGGATCATTATACAAGGATTGTACAAGCTTACCCTACATGAAATAAGAGTGCCAAGACCTTATCCTCCGTTAGGATATGGTCAGTCTCTGAGCCAGAAAAATGATTAGAAAACATATCTCGATCAGCCTGTACATATCATGTTTGATCTACAATATCCTGGTTCTCCAAACACTGTCGAGAAATGGGTGGAGGGATTATAAGAAACCTACAAGCTACCGAATGAGAAAATCTGCAAATCTGACAGGAAATCCAAGAAGTATTATTACCAGAGACTTAGTTTTGAAGTTATTTGATCGAGTACTTGTGAGGAACTGTCAGAAAGAGAAGGTCCTAGCAAACTGAGATCATTCTTGGTGTTTTATTGTTATGTCTTTGTATAAGAGAATTCCTATCTGATGTAATACGCGATGTTTAGCATGCAACTGATAACCAAAAAACGTTAGAAAATTCATATTGTCATGCTTTGTATTTTGAAGCATGTGGTTATGTATGACTTTGCGACTCCAGAGTCGAGGATGACATCTGTTAACAGGGTATGTGACAGATAAGAAGTTAACAGTTTGGAAGGGGTACAATTTTGATTTCTAAACGGTTATTTAAAAATTGATGGCGTGTAATCTAACGGACAAGGGGAGGTAAGTAGTACTGAACAAGCTAAGAGGTAGCCGGATGACAACGTCCATTTCTGCCACGTGCCAATAAACTGTTGGTAACCAAACAATTGCCTCTGGTGTTTCAGGTTAGTTTTGTGTAAGTAATCGATTATTTATGGATTCTTGTTAGCTAGGTGTCGTTGGAGCTCACGTCATATTTGTTCGGTGTTGTCATATGGTATTTTAATGATTAACGTACTTTTGATGAAAATGACAGTTTTGCTGTGGAAGCACTAGTGATGGAAATTCGTAATTGTTGATAGTATTCATACAAACTAGATTTATGTTATATATTATGTAAGTTGCATATTTACATGCTGTGTTTGGCTTTGTTAACCATATATATTTTGTTGATTTCAAATCTCTTGTTAATTTGTGTCGTGTCTTCAAGGGTTAGAATTCGTGTCATTCGAGTTTGTTCCCTTGATAAGTTCAGATCTCTAGTTAGCCTACGTAATAGTAAGATGGTAATACGCGTTTACCTTGGTATATGTAATAAGCAGTATTGCTTATGAATTCAAGTGGTTTCAAGTAGATATTGTAAATAATTGCCGTTTATATCACCATTGATTATAAATGGATAAGATAGTAAATTGAGATTATATTGATTGATTTTGTTGTTATGAAATAATTCCATGTTTGTAATTATGATTCTTATAGCCAATTAATATGTTTACTCGCTATTAACATTATTGTTGATTATAATCAAATGTCAAGAGATTATTAAAAGGTTTGTTATGCATAGGTATAATCAGTCTGAAGTTAGGTCTTGTCACATGTTGTGTGTTTAGTCACTTTTAGTCACCTCTAGTCATAGGTCAGATTATACATGAATGTGTTTGGTTATATTGTCATTGATAATTTACAGATGCCATAGTAACTCTTGGTAAGTATAAGTCACACCATGTAATTTGACCGATTATCACCATTTGTCATCTGTTAGTAAGTTACGTCAAATTAGATAATTGACTGAATGGTTGATTACTGTGGATGGTAAGTCATATTGAGTTGTTCAATTACTTGCAGTAGTAAGTTTCAATAATCATTTCGGTCATATTTGTCACTTAAGTCAAAGCCTGTCATAATTATAACATAGATATTGAATGTTTTGGGTGAAGAATTTTTATTGATAGAAGAAACACTGAAATTTTCATTACGGGAGGAGATATAAGTAGAGGTCGAGGAAATTCTCGATAATGTACATCAAGAGACAGATGGTGAGCTGCGTATCCCAGCGAAGTTATTAAGTGGGATACAACCCCTGAATCGGACAGTCTCTACGTAACGTAAGACGATTCTCATAGATCAGGAAGTACTGGCACAAACAAATTGGAAAAAGAACATAACCTGGCAGTAACAAGCTTTCCAACCACAAAGGGACTAAAAACAGACACAGTTATCAAGTTAAACTGCGAAGAGAACAATTGGTGGTGATAGATTTGAACGAATGTGATGTTCTCTCAGATTTAAATCATACGGGACTCCAACATAATCTCATAACAAGTCATGAATAATCTTGGAGTAAAAGAGCAATCAAAGGAGAATTCAAGCACACAATAATCAATTCAGTAAACAAAAATAAAATTGATTTTCGAGTGAAAAAAAATAGATATGAATAAATAGTGGTTAGGTCTGGAAAAAAAGATTTCTCGATATCTAATATTTTCATACATTTTTAATGTCGGGCTTAAGCAAAATTACATCACAATAACAATACGTTGGTATACAATTCTTGTGTTCGACTAACAAGATGGATCTCGCTCTTGTGTTGATGTCTTTGGCTCTCATGCTAAAAATATTTTAAATGGTGAATTAGACGAAAATCAAGCAAACATCAGCGACACAATATCAGTTGGGTCAGGGTCAGCGAGGAATGCTAGCCAAGCTACTCTTCTTTCACTACTGGAGAATACTAGGACTTCAAACTATTATTATTTTATGTTCCTTTCGTCCACTATCTGCACCCGTCTAGCACTATGAAGACACTGCTTGTTTTGCTTATTGTTGGATGGAATATTCCGTCCCGACCGACCGAATAGTGCAGCTATCACATTTTCACCACAATGTAATTACTATATCTATTATTCTTCAATATGAATATCATTGAGCTCGCTTTTCCATGTTATATCTTATTAAAACATTTTCACAACAATGTAATGACTATTTTTTCTTCAATATTGTGCTCGCTTTCATGCGGTGGCTATTCCATGTTATATCTTATCAAAAAATAAAAACAAAGCACGAAGTATGAGTTAAAACTTGCTGATTAATTCAAACTCCCGATATCTCGCAGACAGCTGCACCACGAAAGGAACAAGCAAGATCAGTCCAAGCATAGCCAAACCAAGGTGCCAACGCTAGACAGTGTGCTTCGAGGTCATTTCCGGAATTATTATCCGGCTGTCCTGGCTGCCAGTTCTCATAGGTACGTATCGGTAAACCGGAATTCATCCAAACCCATTTGCCCTCTTTCTTGACGTCAGATCCAGCTGTCCAAACATGGAATATTCCTATGGAAAAAGGACACTAGCATTTATTTCAAAATCAGTTCACTGAAAAAAGTAGTAGTCTGTTTTGGACTGACAAGAGAAACTTTTAATTCTTCAACCAAAGCCAATAGAATAGCTGACCCTCTTGGATGTGAGATAGGGGATCTTAACCGATTGGAAAGATAACAAAAAAAATAGCAAATACGAGGTGTTTGCAAATTTATAATTTTTTTTTCCGAGGATTGAGATCAACCATCTCATCAACAAGAGAGTGAATTAACATTGCTCTATTACCTGCTGGTTTTATAAGGTGCTAGGTTTTGTGTGGAATAAATTGGTCAAAATAGTTATTTCATTGACCATTATCAATTATAATAAAATACAAATAGTGCAAATAAGGACATTGCGTAAATAGAATAATTATATAGATATACTTGTGGTTGATGTTACGGATTATTTGACCACTGTGAACTGTGCGTAGATTTCACGATTTATTTAATAAATATGTTTTGTTTCCACAGAGGTTTACACGATAACGACGTCGGTCGTCTCCACTCAATCATAAATGGACAGCAAAGACATACTCTTCTAAATAATTCCTTTACCTCGGTCGATCTCTTCGTAGGAGAACTTTTACTATTTGAATTTTGAAAATAACAATATAACTATTACTTACCAGGTATTGTCTTTGCAATACTGCGGACGAATTTGTCTTTCTGTTTTGTGTCAGTTTCAATCAGCCGCGCGCCAAGCAACTGACAGTACGCCTACAACAAACAATTAGAATAGTCTAAACATGTCATTTATGATGAAAATAATTTATTGATATCTATAAGTTTAATTAAATGCTTTCCATATTGGCAATTTGTGTATAGAAGTCGCATGTGTCACCATAAAAACAAAGGTCATTTCGGATTCACACACCAATGTCATTTTAACGTTATTACTCCTTTATCGACCATAACGAAATAAACGCTTGAAACCAAAGATGTAACGAATGATGTGAAGACTCTGCTGGTCACCCAACAAAAACATCATTTGAATAATAAGACTATATTTATGTCGTAATACAAAATCACCATTGATCCTTTCCATGACATCTTCAACGTGGGAAACAGAATGTAAGATGATTTAAACTTGTACCATCCACAGAGTGTGTCTTTGTCGTCAACTATAAAAGCAAAATTGAACATAAATGTCAGTCCATAAAATGACGATTAAAACAGATAAAGGATATAGTGAAAATAACATAGACCACGTGGTTCAGAATTATGATCTGGCTTCAACAAGAATGTTAGTGATTAACGTAACGAGTAATGACAAATATCAGTTGCGATGTGGCAACATTAAGAAAACGAAACATAACCAACAGTTTTAAACAGTTTGTGTTGCCTTTTTTATTCCTGGATAGATAGTCGTCGACATAAATGAGTAATGCTATTAGCACGTGTGATCTTAAATTTCGACATAATGATACCTTTATACCAGACAGATGAAGATGTCCGAGGTAGAAATCCCGACCACTCACGATGACATGTACATACAGAGGTGTCCCGTATGTACGACATTAAACAGCTTTCTGTAATTCTCGAACAGTAAGCCATACAGGCGATATGACTCGGAGTTACAGCAGGTTTAAATCCAGAGTCGGTTTTGGGTTGATAGTTCCGGAGAGCGACGAAGACTTTCCAATTAGTTTGTGCACAGTTGGTGTATTGAATAATGTTCAACAGGAACCCTGCAGCAGAATAAGAACACGGTATTGCTAACACTGGCCATTAATCACAACAATGTCGTTTGTACACTTTTTGTTAAAACGTTATACATTATTTGCTAATATTGACGACGGTGGATTAAATATGACTTGTGTGTTTTCTTTCATTACGTATTTAAAAGTAAAATGGTTAAAAAGAGTATACGGAGAATTCAATGTATCACGGAAATTACTCCTTAAGGAAATATTGCCACTTGATATTGATATTTTTTTATGATCTTCATAGGGAACAACTGAAAAAAATGGAAAAAATATCAAACAAAATTTGTTTGCGTGATCAGAGATACAGTCTAAGACAACAGACTATCAGAAATATTTCAGCAAGAGTTTGATAAATTTTGTTTCATATAATAAAAGAAGAAATGCGATTTTGTGGAAACAACATGGTTGAAAATAATTAGGGATCCTTCTGAAAATGGAAGGTTGAAAAAACATTTTGAATTCCATAATATGCCTTCATTTGATTTTAAAGAGTATTTGACTTTCGTTGATAAGTTGGGCGTAAGAGGAGGATAGAATTGAGACATGCAAGCGAAAAAGGTAACACTACAACACCTTTCCTTATTTATAACGCAAAAATTAAAGTGTATTTATAAAATGTTCATTGAAGAAAGAGTTATTAGGCCATTTAAGTGGCAGGGAAAATGGAAAACAAAAACAAAAATATCAATTAAAGCGTATACTTGGATGATATGTTCAATAATTCTTTTAAATGTACCACAGAAACCAAACTTCAAGCATGTCAGTATTACATATCATATTCCTTCCAGTCTATTTTAGTAAAAATGAAGATAACATCTTTTACGCTTTGTATGTTTTGTGAAAGAGAACCAGAAACAGTGGAACACTTTCTCACATAGTGTCATAGTCCAACTTTTTAAAGAATGTATTTACTGCTTGGTATGCACTATACAAAAACCATTCCATTTGATATCCTTTCCAGGTGTAGACATTTCGTTGGAAATCCAAAGTTTGTGCCTGGTTTAAATGATTTTAATCTATTGTTATGATATTGCATTTACCATTAAGAATGAAAGAGTATTTACCAAACTTTGATAGTTGACAATAAAAATTAAAACATAACTAGCTATAAAATATTGTAACTTTTTTCCCTCAAAAATGGATGTTGTGACGATGCACTGAGCATATAGAAACCTTGGCTCTATACATTTACAATAATTATGATAATTATATTCCCCTTTTTAATTTCCAAGTATCTGGAAATGCAATATATATTAGCAGAGATGATACAGTTTGGTCATGCCTTCCGACATAAATCCTCTAGGTTCTCTAAACATTTTGTGTATGTATATGTTAAAAGTAGGAATGTATCTCTGTATGCTTTCACTGACAAATACGTTTAAAATATCTTACCTGTATAAAGAATAACAACAGCCATCGTCATCCCCAATGTTGGTTATGTTATATAACAATATCTTCTGCAAGGTGTTACGACGGCAAATCAATATTGAAGTAAATGAACTGAAACCCGTCATACCATCACGTGTATGCAAAGTGTTAAAGGATTATTTGAATAATACATAACTCTAGCTAAATATGAATTTTTCAGAACAGTAGCTGGTCACAGTTAGTCATATTCTTGTGTAAGGAATGAAAAATTGCTTTCTGCTTCATCGAGAACATCCGCCATGTAATGCTTAAACAATATAAATAAATTATTTCCTGTTCCCACATGAGAATCGTATTCACAACAACGGAGCCACCAGGCCTACTAAAGAGTCTCGATATAGATATAGGATAAAACACCCAGAGATAACGTTGTGGAATACAAAATGGGACTGCGACGCTTCGTACATCACAGAGACAGGCAGTAGATTGAGGTCTGACTTAATGAACATCAGAGGGACTAGGAGTCCCAAGGAGGAAGAAAACTTAATCAGAGCGAAAACATGCTTAGTCAAAGACCATCGACTGAAAAAAAATAATGATCAGAGAAAAACAACGTTTTTATGCGGCAGATACAAGGAACCACCACAGAGACATCCTTATAACCGTGGGTTAAGATGCTGAAAATCAATATCAGAAGCGTAACATAATTCTTAAATTGCAGTGCAGTGGCCCAGTTAAAAGGGGCACATACCCTTACACTCCGGCCATATGTTAAACAACGCATAGCCGAAAGACTAGAATGCATTGTTTTCACCTTGTGTATTTTGTGTGCAATGGTTTATGGTATAACCGAAAACTTTGGTCGATTCTTTACCATCTCGCAGAGTACCCAAATGGCAGTGCTTATATGCTTCACACTGGTCATTTGTCTCAAGAAGGAAAACTTGTCGCCATCGAAACGCCACACTCTAATTTGCTACCGGTTGTGGTATTAGAACTTTGTTCTATCAACACAACAATCTGTAGCAAATAAACCGCAATTTATTAGCCCACCATCATTCAAATCGCTCTAGGTCCGTGGTTCCTGGTCTGTCCGTAAAAAGTCCACGATGGACCTTTCTCATAAAGCATACGTAGGTTTCGCTTGGTTCAAATTTCATATATTAGTTTCTTTTGTCATTTCCTTCATTTGCCCATCCTGATTTTGGGACAAACCAGAAAATAAAAATGGCTTCCAGGCGGCCATTTTGAATTTGGCAGATAAAGAATATCATTGCTATTTCTGCAAAGAAAGGTTCAAATGTCTTATTTTTAAGAGCAAAAACAAAGAAGAGAAGGGGAAATATCTAACTTTCAAAGAGCATATAAAGATCAAACAATGGTTGGCGCCAAGATCTTTTAGTGACTCAAACGAAAAAAATCACAAAACCAGAAACCTGAAAGCGTTGTTTACTAGTAATACGGCATTCAATTCCACGATAAACATTCATTTCCAAGGCAACACAAATTACATATCAGGCATCAAACGTCAAAAATGTGGAGCTATCGCGTTAGACATTTCAAGAGGATTCGTGTCATCAACAGCGACAGGCTGTAGGTTGCTGTCATATTTTCAGTCGCGAAGTAACTTGTACCAGGTTTTAGAACAGTTTTGTCTGTTAGTGACCTGAATTAGTGATCATAAAACATTCCTTCATATTGAAATCTATTTCGTACTGCGAAGTTATGAGTAGTGTCCGCGAAAATCATAGTTGGATTCCGTTTTATATCTATTCTAAATATGCCAGTAACTTAGCTATTTTGACTGCGAAAATGAAATGAATTGCCTGTTTAATAGTGTATCCAGTAATAACAAATATACAGTAAAACTCACTTGTGTCGAACACGCTTGAATCGAATACATCGGATAAGTCGAATGTTTCGTTCGGTCCCGATTTTTTCTCTTCTTCGCCTTAATGAATTAATTACGAATGATTCAATGACTGTTAAGTCGAATACTGCGTTTGTGTCGAATATATTTTGTGGTTCGTCTCTTCTAAATTTCCTCTTTGGTCTCGAACATAGAATTTATACATAATTAGGCAATCAAACTTAAAACAAAATACACTATAGTCTAAAAAATAAGCGATAACTACCACGCCGATGCAGATTGGAAAAAAAATACTTTGTCATTGAAATATTTGGTTAGGGTTTAAACTACATTTACTTATATACATGTTTATATACAATATACAAATACAAGTTTTATTTTGTTCTATTTACGATATACGCTTTTAGAGTGCTGTACGTGTAAATTTTAACTTATGCTTCAGTGACGTTGCCGCGGCCTTTTCGCAACCTACCTCAGTGCTATCAATATTTAATCAACGTAGAATGTTCATGAGTACGTTTTTATTGAGTTTTATTTTTAAATGTTGTTGAAGTGACTTTTTACTCTTAAAGATACAATTATAAGTACAATATTTGTATTACCGTATGTATCGATTTCTCTAAGTTGAGAGTTGATGAATATCCACGCCTTTCACATTACACTCTTTCTATCATATATCCGTACCTATATCTGTTGATCTAAATTAAAGATTTCGTTAAAGCTAATACAGTGTAGCAACAAGAGCTTTATACTGATTATCCAGATGAAGTGTTTGTACAAGGTCTACTTAACAAGTAGTTTACCTGTAGTTTTAATTTCGTCTAAACCTATTTTTTATAAAATTATCATCCAAATGTATACGGGAAAAATACTGTCATTTGAACGAAAAAATGCTTTATTCATGTGTTAATGTTGCACTCTATAAACAAATCATCTCAACGATAACTAAAAGTTTCATTCTCTCACAAAACAATTCTTCTTCACGTATCTGATCGTGATAAATAGTTATTATAGGCAGTTACCATTCCTTCCGATGAGTCACCTGACCTGGAAATGGAGAGACATTAACACTGCTAACACCGCTCACAAATGTTCTCCAGTGCAACTTCTCCTCGTACATCCTACAACCTGAAGAGTTCCAAACTTTGAGAACAGCTACTACATAACAAATTGTGTCGGCGCAAACTTTCCCCGGGTATGTGTCACTGGACTGGACATATTATTGATATATTATAGAAAGCAATGCACAGTTATATGTAGGACCGGTGGCAGCTTGTTGTAGGTAAGTAAATATTGATATCATAATCAGCCAGATTTCCATATATGGGCATATTTTACATTTGAATAAACACAGATTCATATAATAATGATTTAATAATAAATCTGCTCGCACGTGTCGCTATTACGAAAACAAATTTCATTCAGGTGTTCATTTCAGTGACACATACCCGGGGAAAGTTTACGCCCACACAATATTCTATGCAATTTGCTGCTCTCAAATTTTGGAACTCTTCAGTGTTTTTTTGCACTCGATAGTAAAATTTACTAATAAACACGTTGTGAAATGACCATAATTGCTTCTCATTTTGACATAACGACGGCCATCTTGTCTTTATTTCAATGGTGTTGTATCAATTGTTAAAGACGTCATCTCCAGGAATACAACATACTTCTGAGTTTGTCATCTCAGTCAATGACAGCTGATGTTGCTCGGAATGATGAACCACTACGTGCTGAAGATATGATATGTGTCGTGTATTTGATTGCTAATGCTAAAATTACGTTTGCGTTCATACGGTATTGTTAAAATTATGATTACAAACAAATGACACCTCACAATATAGATACACACACATTAACAGACAATAGCGACATGTCAGCCGGTTCTGAGTACACACGGCCGTTGTCAACAACGTGATGCCATCGGAATGTTGACATTGCAACAATGTATGTTTTTTTATGAATACACTAATGTGCCACAGACATGGGAGAGCATGCTGAACCTATACTTGTGTTGATAGATTTGATGTTCAGTATTGAATCCATTTCTGTCTATCAAATTCAACACGTGTGCATATATGGAAGTAACACCACTGTTAGTCATAGTAAATATGTAAAAAGGGGGATTCAAAGTAACGCACAATATCATGATATTTTTTAAGTAGTTAATTATTAAATTTGAATCAGTTTTAAAGTCCGTCAAATCCAAAACGTGTGTAAGTTGGAAAGTAGAACCGTTGTTTATTATAATTAATACGTTAAAAGACCACGGAGTACCCGGGGACTCTTAGGTTCTTAAATGATGGTACAAAACACATAACATCAATAACATATTTGAAAATACCAGAATCGATAACTCATGCTGATGAAGAAAATTTTCACATACTTTGGTTGTTGACTTTTTATCACATTATACCCAGATCATATTAGAGGTTTGCCGTTTTGAAGTCTGTCTTTAAAACAATTCAAGGGATAGTGCTATTAATTAGGTGTGCTCGACTTTCAAGTGCTTCAGCGAAGTGTTTTCGGCAACGGTGTATCTTTGCATTGATGAAGATAAGAAACTCTTACCTGCATAAAGCAATACAACACCCATCATCATCAACGCTTATGTTGTTTGCATATGTATATGATAATGCGTGGCGCAGAGTGTTAAAATGGAAAATCAACATTGAATTAAATTTGAATGGAATTCCCAGATGTCAACTTGCATCTCTCAATCAGTCATCTTTTTCGGTGATGTGTCATCTTTTAACAACTATTCCCGGAAACGGTGATATTAGGAACAAACCATTGAATATTGGATTAACTGAAGCATGTTAGCTGTAAACATCGTCGGGTATCTACATAGGTACGTTGGAAACAACGAAATTATCTCGCTTATTGTATAGATTAGTTAAGGTTCAGAGAACCTGAAAAATATTTATTTCTTCCAAAACAGCAACATCAGTAGGAATGGTAAAATTCAACTCTGCAATACCATATAACCTAATGGATTTGGACTTCAGGAGCGACGATGAGTGATTGAACACAATAGATTTGTCCCATAATTAATTGCACACACACACAATCTACCACACACACACAATCTACCACACACACAATACCACACACACAATCTACACACAAAAACAACACAATGTGACCACACACACAAACAATCTACCACACACAAACAA